TGTTCGTTGGGGTTTGTTGGGCTCTTTCGAGACAAACGCGTCAGCTGTTGAGCTCGGGAAATCGTCACAGCTGGCAGCCAGCTAGTGGGCTGGACCTGCTGCCTTCTTTTTCTTTTTTTGTGCCATCGTGCATGATCTCTTTCGAGATGACACTGCTGTGTTCTCATGAGCCCGCTCCGCAGGGACCACTCGTTAAAAGTGTGCACGGATTTGTAAAATGTTTCCAAAGGGCCCGCCCGTCTGGAGTGGGATCATGAAAGCACAGCAGTGTCATCAGCAAGGGGGCGATGCAAGATGGCACAATCGAAGCAGTTTTGCAGCAACCAGCCCACTAGCTGGTCGTCAGTTGGATGTAACGTTTTCCAACCTCAAGAGCTAGCTCACACGGCTGACCTTGTTGTTTTTCACTCCAAGAGCCCAGCGAAAATCTGAACGAACCGACGAGAAGATACTGGATTTTTTTTTTTTTGGAGGTTCGCAAGGGCTCTTCGATTGAAAACACGTCAGCTGTGTGTGAGCTGTTCAGCTCGGCCAACGTCACGCTGGCAGCTGGCAGCCAGCTATGGACTGGTCCTGCTACCTGCTTTTTTTGTGTCATGTTGCATCACCCCCCGATGACATTACTGTGCTCCCGTGAGCCCGCTCCGGGTAAAGCACTTGTGTGTGTGTGTTGCTATGCATACGGCGCCGGGTGCGGGTTTAGGCAACCGGCATCAAGCCATTAGAGCATTGGCTGATTGGTCTAGTGGGTTGTTTTCGGTTGCTGAAGGGCAATGGCTGCAGCTGTATCGGCCTGTTGGTTGGGCTTCAAGCATATGGTGTGTCTCTCTGAGAGAGATTTAGTTTTGTCTAGGGGAAGATGGTGACAGTCAAGCAAGAGCAGTCTTCGATGGAACTCTTGGGTTCGCAGCTGGTGCTGTCGTTGTCGTTACCCTCCAACAACACGGTCAGTGTCGCCGAGAGAGCCAGCCTCGTTCGTGCAGCCGCGGATAAGACTCAGATCAGGCATAAGGCACAACAGCTCCCTTTGAAGGACCCCCCCCCCCCCCCC